GGAAGGCAGGGCCTCAGAGGACTGTCAACCCAAGATTCCAAAATTGGCTGAAAAACAAGTAGACAGTCAAAAAACTGTCGGTTCCAGGACTAGGGAATCATGACCAGTTCCTCATGTGGCTACTCCCCTAGCGGGAGCTGGCATTGGAAGGGACCAAAAGTGAATGTGGTATAGAGGCCAACAGTCCTGGATTCTGGTCACCCCACTTGTGCCATGGTATCCACTTCCCAGCCTTAAAAGGAGACCTACTAATTCTGCAATTATTTCCCCATACCCAGGATGCTGGCACTGCCTGGGACAGGCACGAGGGCACCATCCAAACAGGCTATTTGGTACCAATGACATAAGCCTGTGTAGGCCCCAGCTCCAGTACCCCATTCCAGACCACATGTATAAAAATCCTAGTTCTGTTCTTCTGCCCCTTGGAGGGTCTCGTCATCACAGGCCTTTGCTTCCTTATCCAAAAAGTGGGGCAATGACATATATTATAAAGGCTTAGGAAAGATGAAATAAGAATATAGGAAAAGAACCAAGCATTCCCCAAAAGGCACCCAGGAAAAGGCAACCTTAATTGTATCGACAGCTAACTTTCCTTGGGCACTTTTATTACAAAGCACTTTCACACATCCATTATGAAATGAACACACAAATGACAGAATGAGGACAGGGAGAACAGGTATTATGATGTCCGTGTTAGAGATTAGGACAAGACTTGGAAAGTGACTCACCCAAGATTATGTAGTAAATTAGTGTCAGAGTTGAGACTGGGTCCTGGGGCTCGGCCTGGTCCCAAACTGTTCTGGGCCTGGCCAAAACAGTATGGGTGCAAATTATTTAGAAACAAACTAAACTCAAACAAATGTAAGGAGATGGAGACAGAATCAAAACTAAGAGTCACAGTCAAAGCTAAAAGACAAAGGCCCTTGTTCATCAGGACATAAAGTAAGCTAGCCTCACCAGTCCAGGCTACCTGGGACTGACAATTCACTTACAGATTGAACCAGGCTGCCAAGTGCACCCCCATAATCCCAGCAACTCAGGAGACTAAGGCAGGAGGATGGTAAAGTGAAAGCCAGCCTCAGCAAATTAGTGAGGCCCTAGGCAACTTAGCAAGACCTTGTCTCAAGAATTTTTAAAAAAATTTTTTAAAAAGGGCTGAAGATGCAGCTCAGTGGTAAAATGCCCCTGGATTTAATTCCCAGTACAAAACGGACAATATCTGATTTAACAAACTGATTAAATCAGAGGAGGCAGATCCAAGAGACCATTCATCCATTCATCTCTCGCCTCTAAGAGAGATCCCTAAGTACCTCACCTAATCAGCATCTCTTTGTTGCTCTAGATTGCAGGGGTCGGGAGTGGTCCTATAGGAGGAAAGTAACACCTTCTTTCTGCCATCTGTCACTGCTCTACAGAGATCCCAGTTGAGTTCCAGGAAGGACACTGAATTCATGGAGGTCACTCACAGGTGAGACCCTTACTCAAGAGCCTCCAACCTTTGTCTTAGATATAATTCTAACTAATCTGATAAATTTCCCAGCACTCCTGGGAAAAAAGTAACAAATTAGAATCGAACAGAAAAGCTGCTGTATTTGGGCATACCAATGTCACTTCTGGCTATCACACAGGGGTTGAAAAAGAAAAAGACCAGATCAGAATTCAAAAGAGAGCAACTAGTAGCCACCAGGTACCAGGGCACAGTGCCCTCTGGAGACCAGTAGGCCCAGGAGACTGTGCCACAACCTGGTTCCCTGGCATCCAGAGGAGATTAAATTATGTCTAACATTTTGTTGTTGCTATTGATAAAGGAAGGGAATTATACATATTTCAGAGTCCTGCCCAAACTAAGAATACTTTGTTTTAAATCACTGAAAAAGTGATTTAAATCACTGAAAAAGCCTGGATCTCAAGGGCACCTCATTCTCAAGGGCTTTCAGGAATCCAAAATTATGTTGCATTTGAAAAGATCCTTCTATAAAACACTGAAAATCAGGCTTTCCAGTCATTCTTTCCAGGCCCCTCTCCTCTCCCCCAGCCTCACCAATGTGTGTTAATAAGATTTTATGGGAACCCATCAAGAGCCACAGGTAGAAACTTAAACTGGCCCCACCCTCCCGGGGGAGCTGAAGCCAGCCAGCGGTGACATCACCTCTACAAGGCTGAGCCCAGGCAAGGCAGCCAGTGCCTCCCCCGCCCCCTCTCAGGCTGTGGGGAAATGTCTCTACTGGTCCCCATAATTAAGGCAAAAGGGATTTTATGCCTTTCAAGAGGAGAAGAGAGAAAGAGAAAAATAGCAAAYAACTATTACAGAACAAGCCATTTTTCTGACATGACAGAAACAAAAGATCACGGGAAACACACACACACATGGACTTTTTAAACAAACCTGTTTCGGTCCCTGGGGAATGGCTACCAGCTACCGCCAGCCCAGCAGCCTCCCCTGGCCATTCAAAATCAAGACACCCAGCAGTCAGTCGCTCCTCACCTCACTGGTCCCCCGGGGGTTCTGACCTGCTTCCCACAGGAGCCAAAGTGAGCCTTCCTTTGGAGAGGGCCAGGTCTAGGCAACTTATCCCGTTTTAAGCAAATCTCAACTCTCTCGTTTCTTTCAGGAAAAAGGAGGAGGGGACTATGGGAAAGTGGGGCCTATGGGAAGGTATGACACTTTATGCACCCACTTTTAACCAAACATGGACATTCATTGTAAAAGGGAGAGGGCAGCAGGGCTGGGAAAGAGAAAACAAACTAAACTTTATAAAACAAGAAAAAAAAAAAAAACACCTGTGCTCCAAGCTGGAGTCTGATCCCAAACTCAGGCATTACTTTGGGGCTCAGCTCAAACCCCTCCTCCAAGAGGCCTTCCCAGAACTGCAGTTCTAAGGACTTTCCCTCCCTCCTTTCCCCTGAGACTCCTGCCTCCTGGGCCTGGTGTCTCCCTACAGTTTTGAAGTGGAAAACAGTGTCTCCTACTGCAGCATCTGCCCSTACTCAGAAAGCAGGAAACTCCAGGACACACGGTCCATAGGGAGTCACCATCTCCAGCTGCCTCCCCAGTAGTAACAGGCGCCCTGAGATGCCAGCTCACAGGAATGTCTGCCTCAACCCAAGGCAGGCGGAAAAGAACCACCCCTCACAATTCTGGCACAGTGTCCCACCTTTGCAGCCCCTACTTAGGCCCCATCCTGGGCCTGGAGAGAGAAGCAGGAGGTAATGCCAGGAGGGTCAGGGAAGTATACCAAGCGCCCCCACTTCTTTTCTGGAGTGGTAACTATGATTCCAGGCRTACTCTGAGTCCCACAAAACCACAACCCTCGAGAGCAACTTCTTGGACCTGAAAGCAGTGCACTAGAGACTCAGCTTGGAAACCATTATCCCTCCCTAGTTCCCCCAGCACAGCACCCCACACAACACAGTCCAACTCATATCTGCAATTTTTCTGGGCATCTGGACCTCACTTGGACTTCAGAGTGCTCAAAAGCACAAGTCACCTGGAAAGCTACCAAGACGCTTTACATGTTAGCCTCAAAAAACGACAGTACCTACATTACCTGGGGAGCCAAACCCCGAAGCACTTATTAACTGGCGGCTACTAACATTATAGAGGGAAATGCTGGGAGAGGATATTGAACAGATGCCACACTGGAAGTACAGGGCCCAGGTCCCCACCCCGTGCCCTACCCTCATTCCCTGTCCACGTGCCTCCCTTTCAAGAGCTAGGGAAGTCCAGCTGTCCAGATGTGGTGTCGAGAGATCGCACTTCCGGAAGGGGAAGAACCGCTGGCACCGCAACTCCCACCCCTCTGCCTCCCAGGGGGCGGCCCAGCCAGCCCTCCCAGAAGACCCCTGGGACTCCCGCACCCTGCGCCAGGGCTGGGGGAGTGGGCACCCGGCGGCCAGCGCTGACACCTGGCGGCGACCCAGCACCCAGCCCACGTCAGGAGCCGGCGCTGCGGGGCGGATCCCAGCGAAAGGTTACAGGGGCCGAGAACAAAGCGCCCCCATTGGGGAAGGCGGGCTAGCGGCCGGCGGCTGCGGCGGGAGAGCCACTTTCTAGGGACCCTTGGCAGCTCTTCGTCGGCCACGTCCCTCTTTAGAGAAGACAGACCTCCACCAAAGGTGGACAATGCATCCCATCCAAAGGCCTCCCTCGGCCGCGAGCTCCACGTTTGTCCCTCTTTCCCCGCGACTCTACTGGGCGGGCCAAGGGACCCGCCTTCCCTCCGCGCAGCTTCAGCACAAAGCCGAATCGGGGGAGGGGGAGAACGGATCCGAGGTCCACTCGCGTGGAAGGCTCTCTCGCCCCTCGGCCGTGCCGGGCACAGGAACGCGCTCTCCATGGGCAACACAACTTCAGCCGCTCAAAAGTTATGCTCCTCGGATCTCCAGCGTTCCGAGGCCAACTTCCCGGAACCTCCCGCTGCCAGCTCTGTSGAGCTCACCTCCGGCAGCCAGGGGAAAGCCCAAGGACCCCACGGCTACCCGCCAGAGTCCCGGCGCAACCCTGGTCCAGCTTCCTATTCGGCTCCGCTGAGCCCAAACTTGCCTCGGCGCAAACCACCCTGAGCTTGGGCTCGGCGACACCGGGCGCGCAAGCCCTGATCTGGTTTGAATTAGGATCTTCAGAAGGGACGTTGTGGCCGCGGTCACAACATCCCTCCAGGTCACTGGCGGAGGCCGGGCCGCCGCGGGGCCGAGAGCGACGGGGGTGGTGGGAGTGGGAGGCCCGGACGCCGCCGCGGGCAGGGGGACTCCAGCACATGTGGAGACATTTTACATAATTGAACGCGGGGCACCCGGAGCGGCGGGATCCGAGTGGCGCCAACGGACGGCGGAGGGAATTGGGACGCGAGCCCTGATTTCGGGGTTCACCGTCCCAGGACCCGCCGGGCTAGAACGAGAAGTCCCCGTTCCCCTCCCCCTCCACGTGCCGCTGCCGGCAGCGTTAGGTGGTGAGCTCCGGCTACCCACCGCCTCCCAGCTCGGCCTCGCGCSGCACTCACCGGCAGCGCCGGCTGCATGCGCAGCGCCAGCGCGCAGAGCCAGAGCCAGAGCCAGAGCGCCGCGCGCCTCATGCTGTCCAGACCGGCGGCGGGAGCTCGGCGGGCTGCGCGGGTCCGGGCTGGGACTGAGCGGAGATCCGGGCTGGCTCTGCTGATTGCGCTGTGCCCTGCTCCCTTGGGCGCCCGCCCAGCGCACTACTGTCCTAGGCGAAGACTGCAGGGTCCACCGGCCGGAGTCCGCTCCAGATAGCCGATTCCTCTGCGTTCGGCTCTGCTCTAGCCCTCACTTCTCCCGCCGAGCTCCGCCTTATAATAAACCCGCAGGCCTTTAGCCGTTGCAAAAACTAGCCCCCCACCCCCAGCTCCCTCAGGTCTCCCGGCCAGCCCCAGTCCCACCCCCTAAAGCCCCGCCCCTGAGCCACTGTGCCAGGCCCCTTGGAGCGCCCCACCCCCGCACAGTCCCCGCCCCCTAAGGTCCGATCCCGCCCAGCTCCCACCGGGCAGGGTCAGAACCCCGCCTTCCTCTCCAAGCCACAGTCGGGGGTAATCTGTGGTTCCCAGCGTTGGGGCTGGGCTGATCCTGGGCTGATGGGGTCCGGGAAGCACCCACTATCGCGTCGGCCCCGGTATTGAGGTGCTACCCCGGAGAAGGGCGGAAGGGGCGGTAGTTGGTATTATGCGGGCGCAAGTCTGCAGCGCCCTCTGGGCGTGGACTCGTGGCGCCCTCCAGGTATGCAGGACTCCCAGATTACAGTGAGAACGTTTTCGGGGGCGAGGAGCGGGGAGCAAGGAGATGAGACCTTAATCCTCTAGCGCGCGCGCACACACACACACACACACCCCACCTCTCTCCTGGCCGAGGATGGGACTCCCTGCGCCCGGTCAGCACAGGTGTTCACAAGCATTCACGTTATCCCAACATCCACAAAGTACTGAACACTCTTAGGGCTGTTTTTTAAAAAGGAGTTTTCAGCGTTTTTCTATAGAAGACAATGCCCTCTCTCTTCGTATTCCGAACTAAAAGGAAAAATAAATAACTGCTTTGTTCCCAGATGACTTTAGGCATGCCCATCTGAGAAGCACCGGTCGAGTTGCTGCTCCTTTGCTGTTCCTTCGGTGTTTCCATCAGGCGCATCGGACCAAAAGGCCACAGAGAGCCTGCAGGTGTGGGGCCAATGACCCTGAGAGCAAAGGGAAAGAACCAAACGGCCTCTGCCCACGATCTGGGTGCCAAGTGACCTTTACACCTGGACCTGGAGACTAAATATGGCGTCTTCCTCAGTAATCTTCCCCAAGCAGAGGGAAAGGCTTCTTCCTGTCCCCCTGCATTGAGAACCAGTAGGTTCTCCTAACGGCTCTTTAGCGTCTCAGAAAGTCTCCTGTGTTTTCCTTTTAAAGGACTAAAACTTCCTGGGTTCTAGGTAATGCAGGAAGGGAAACTGCCTCTGGACCCTAAATATCCCTCCACTCATGGAGCAGGTTTCCCTAGAGTGAGGCAGCCTCCTGCCACACTCTTCAAAGGTGACGACCACCTTATAGCACTTTGCATCGTGAGGGGAAAACAACATTGATTTGGGCAGGATTATTCAGTTTGTGGGGGAAAACAAACAAAAATACAAAACCCCATCAAACCGGTGATTTTTAAAATATGAAAAGACTGCCCATCAAACCCTCTACCCCATTTTTCCTATTTTGAAGAAGCAGAAAAAGATAAGCTATTGAACTGACCCACTTTTCCCCTCCAAATTGGGTTGCTTCTGTCCCTGATCCTGAATACCTATTTGATCTCAGGCAACCCTCCCTTTGGGGTCTCAGTATCCCCAGGCCTATGGGTGGTGATAGTTACTCATCAGGACTCTGGGGGGGCAGACACTGGGTATCTGAAAATCCTTAATGATGGATCATCTATCTCGCTGCTGGCTAGGACCTCATAGTAATGGCCTACCCTGGAGCTCAGGAAGTCCTGGTGGGTTAAAAATGTCTTTTAGAAACAGACCCTGAATGTATCTCCCAGAGGATGGTCCTCACAGTCTGAGGTCAGCTCTCCTGATCCAATCACTGGCAAGGGGAGTTTGCTCCCCAATAAGGGTTTAGATTGATCCTTTCAAGATTTGAATCTGGGAGAACCAATACCACATCCACAAAATGTTTCAGCTTCCTAAAAATCATCAGATGCATGTGAGGGCATTCCTACTTCAACCCCATGCTTATATTTTCTTCAACCCCATTTGGAGGAAAAATGGCTCAGTTCCATGTCTTATCTTTCTCTGCTTCTCAAAATAGGAAAACTTGGGGTAGAGGGTTTGATGGGCAGTCTTTTCATATTTCAAAAATCACCAGTTTGGTCTTTTTTACAAACTGAATAAATTTTCCCAGATCGATCTGTCTGTTTTGAAGGGGCAGGCTGAAAAGAGGAGGGGTACCACAGAAGGGCCCCATGACGGAGGTTTGGGGCTTGCCTTTGGCCTGGCTAACCCCTACCCAGCTCACATTTCCCCCTGCCCACACTGGTCTTCCTCCAAGACCCTTCTCAAAGGACTATGTACCCAGAATCCCATGTTTCCTCAGACCTCCTCCAGCCCATAAATGCGGCCCTGTCCCTCCCTGTCTACACAATCCACACATGACCCTCTGCCAAGAGATCCTGAGCCTTTACCTCATCTAGCCACTAAGGGGTCAATGCCTGGCTCAGCAGAGAGCCTCTGGCTTCCCTCCCTGGCACTAGGCAAGGTATCCATCCTGAAGTGTGTCTTTACCATGGATTATTTTCCACCATCCCTGGTGAATCACTGTGCTCCTTTCCCAGTAAGAGAAAGAAAGCTACTGGAAGGCAAGGCCAGCCTCCTCCCCTCCTTTCTCCTGTTTTTCCTTTGGACACATAGGACCTCATTCTGGGAGAAATGCTCTTGACAGGGGTGGCTGCTGGTGACAAGTGTGTAGGAAAAGCGCCCAGCACCTGGCTACAGAACTACCCCATCCATGCAATAGGCATCCACCTGATCAGGCATTCTCTGGGCAGGCAGACAGCATCTATCAAACTGGACGCACACTGACCCTTTCACCCAGGAGGTCTCCTTCAGTGCATTTTACTCCTCGAAAGAATTTCCAGTGTCCAGAGAGCCAGTATAAATGCCCTACCCTAAAGGGAAATGGGAAAGTGAAATAACCATGAGCATTCCCATACTGTAATTCCATAAGGTTAAGACCCGACCTGAGAAGTTTCTTCAAAATCTATTTTTAGGTGAAAAGAGTGAGACTATATAAAATGTATACTATATATACATATATGTATATATTAATGTATATTATATATATTAATGTATATATGTTAATGTATATTATATAATATATACATATATAATACACATATTATATACATATAATAAAGATATAATATATACATATACATTATATAATGCATATATTATAAATTATATAATATAACAATAACTAAAGAGTGATATATATTTTCTTATTAATGGCCAAAATTTTCTTAAAACAAAAATATGGTGATAAATATATGATTATATATATGTATTACTTATGTATGCATACATATATACATAATATATGTGTATATACATGTAATAAAGAAAGTCATGGTGTAAATGGTGTAAGATGGGATGAGAACAGTATAAAAGAACTTTCATGTTTGTTCTGTTTTCTTAAGTGTTTATAATGAGAATATTTTATATATATATGTGTGTGTGTGTATATATATATATATATATATATATCGTCTAACTTTTTTAATTAAAAGTTATTTACTGACTCAATTAAGATGTTTCAAATCTCAATCCATAAACCCTCCTCAAGCACATTAAATAAAATGATGTTTGTTACTAATACCCATACCCACATTACTCACCATACAACCAAAACTCCGCACCCCTCAGAACCAAGCTCCTCCCACACGAAGCTCCAACCATCCCTGTGTGGCTTCATCCTCAGGAGGGCAGCAAGATGGCGGCATTCCATCCAGTATCACATGTTCATGGCTAACAGAGCCATGTTCAAACACGAGACCATTTCCTCCTTGTGTTTTTCCTGCGAGTGAGGAAATATCTCACAAAATCCCTCCTCCTCCATTTTTTCTCCCACCACACTGCCCCTCAAAGAGGGTCCCATGCTCTCCTGAACCAATCACTGGCAAGGGGAGTTTGCTCCCCAATAAAGGTTTAGATTGATCCTTTCAAGATTTGAATCTGGGAGAACCAATACCACATCCGCAAAATGTTTCAGCTTCCTAAAAATCATCAGATGCATGTGAGGGCCTTCTGACTTCAAGATAACACAAACACAGCTTCTTTCATACCAACTTCTTCCCATTGTGAGGCATTTGAAAGGATAGCTAGTTATTGTGAACCATATCAAATGTAATAAAGACTAATATAATGAACACCACAACCACCCAGTTTATAAAATTTTAATGTGATTTTTTTCTTTTCTTTCTTCCTTCCTTTCTTTTTTTTTGAATGAAATGAAGCATGGCAGATTGTGATGGTTAATTTTATGTGTCGACTTGACAGGCTAAGGGATGTCCATATAGCTGTAAAATATTATTTCTGGGTGTGTCCATGAAAATGCTTCCAGAAGTGATTTGAATCAGGAAACTGAGTAAAGAAGATCCACCCTCACCAGTGTGGGTGAGCAAGATCCAATTATTGAAGGCCCCAGTAGGTTTGTGTGGATGAAGGGCAGATTCTCTCTCCTTGAGTGGAGACATGCATCTCCTCCTATCGTTGGGCACTGGAACTCCTGGTTCGAAGGCTCTGGAACTTGAACTAAATTACACCACCAACTTGCTTCCATCTTGAGCGTATAGACAGCAAATTTGGGGACTTTTTGGCCTCTGCAATCTTGTGAGCCAATTCCCATAAGAAACTTATTCATATTCATATAAATATTTAGTTCTGCTTCTCTGGAGAATCCTTAAACAAAAACAACTGGATTTTCTCAATTTAGATTATGTTTTGAGATTTATGCATGTTAACACATATAGCTCTGATTCATTTATTTTAATTGCTGTATAATAATTCATGAAATTATTGTATACAAAAAATGTCACAACTTATCCATGAACATTTTGTTGTTTCTAGTTTTTTAAAAAAATATATATTTATTTTTTAGGTGTAGATGGACACAACACAATGCCTTTTATTTTCATGTGGTGCTGAGGATCGAACCCGGGTGCCACTCGTGCTAGGYGAGCGCTCTACCGCTGAGCCGCAATCCCAGCCCTCCAGTTTTTTGTTTGTTTGTTTGTTTTGTTTTGTTTTGTTTTCCCCTAA